CTCTGTCCAGCCCTGCTGCCCCTGTCCAGCCCTGCTTCCACCAGCCAGTCCCTCCTCCCCCATCTTCCCCTCCCAGCCGGCTGATTCTCCCCCACTTCTCCTCCCAATCTCCTCTGTCCAGCCCTGTTGCCCCTGTCCAGCCCTGCTTCCACCAGCCAGTCCCTCCTCCCCCATCTTCCCCTCCCAGCCGGCTGATTCTCCCCCACTTCTCCTCCCAATCTCCCCTGGCCAGACCCCCTTCTCCCCATCCAGCCCTGCTTCCGCTGGCCACCTGCCCCCTTCCTGGCCTCTGCCAGACAACCCTGCTTCCCGGCGGCCAGTTTCCCCCATACACACACCTCCTCCCAGCCCACCCCGCTCCCCTCCTGGCAGCCACGCTGAGGCCCAGTATTTTTTTCCCGCGGCCTGGTACTGGGCCATGGCCCATAGTTTGGGAAATGCTGGTTTAAGGCAAATATCAACGAAGAATCATTGATATCCAGAACTGCTCTCCAGGCCACTCTAAATTCTGTGGACACAGCGTCAAGGTCTCTAGCCTCAGCAATCGTAATGAGCCATGCCTCGTGGCTCCATCTGTCAGGGTTCCCAAGGGAAGTGCAAGCCATGGTTGAGGGCCTCCTGTTTGAGGAGGAGTCAGTCAAGGCCCTCCCCAAACTCTATGCAGAATCCACCAATGCGTCACTCCATACACGTGCCTGTGAACAAAAGGAATCAGGGAAGGTCATACACACAGAGGTACAAGCCAACTCCGTTTAACCAATAGCCAAGATATTATGACCAGGGCTCGACAAATAGTGTAATCTACTCGCCCGTGGTGAGTAGATTACACCCCGGAAGAGCCGCTCAGCAAGCCCTGATTATGACAACAGACACCAACGCCCAAGGCAAACCGAGGTCTGGTCAAGGATTAGCCCCAATATTTCCAATGCAGCAATCCAAATCCTCCACAACATTTGGTAGCAGACTAACTGCATTTTATTCTGCAGGGTGGAAATTATCAAAACTGATTACTCCATCCCATTCCCTTCCCATTCCCCACCTCCAACTCCTCTCCCCATCCCCTTTCAGGGACCCCTCTTATGAGCATGTGTTCATACAAGAGGTGCAACACCTCTTACAGCCAGGCGCCATAGCAGGGGTATCACCAGAACACATGAGGAAGGGATTCTATTCCTTAAGTCTATCACTGTGAGGCATGTTTTTAAAAACCTTAAATCAATCTAGGGGCTTTTCTCTGAACCTTCCCCAATTTACCAACTTGTGCAGCAGACTAGAAATTCCATGGCAATTTTGATTAAAATTAAAAAGAAAAGCTTTCACTGATTTGGATACAAATATGGACTACAAAGTCAGGACAGCAGTCCCATTTTCTATATTTTCACCTTGGTACCTGTCTCCACATGCAAGGTGGTACTGTTGCAAATATTGTAAGGCTTACAAGTTGGGAAAAAAAATAAACAGAAGAGTGAAAGAGCTTTGAAGAAGAGATAGTGGCATCCTACAAGTCTTTCTGCTAAGTTGTAAAGTTTAGAGGTAGAGATATTAAAAATACATCTTTGTAACCATCGCCACCATCATTCCTGCCTTTGAAAAGAGTTTGGTTGTGTACGCTAGACATTCAGGACACATACTTTCATATTTCAATACATCCATCCCATAGACGATTCTCACGGTTCACTATAAGGGACCTATGCTTCCAATACAAAGTGTTAGCCTTTGGGTTCTCAACAGCCCCATGTCTTCTCAAAGATACTGGTG